CTCTCTTTTCAATTGGCAATTCATGAGGTCGAATGTTGGAACAACAATTTAGAATTCGACGGTGTTCAGAAGTTGCCGCATCAGTCTTTCTCTTGCACGTCAGTTTCCACCGGTGTCGTTTTCTTCAGCGTTTGTTTGCTTTGTACACTTGCCTTGTCGAGTGTCAAGTGCACTGTTTTAGTTCTAACCACAGCGACAGCACAAAAAGCAACAGCACCAGAATTTGGTGTCGTCGTGTGTGCGCAAATCAGAGCTGTGTCCAGAACTGTTGTGCTCTGACGATGCTTTAGCATCGGCAGGAAAGCACTTTTTGGACATCGCTTGCCCTTTTCCCTTTTTGCTTTCTTTTTCTCTCTTCTCTTCTCCTTCGTTCCCTTCGTTACCGTTCGTTCGTCCATTTTTGTGAGGGGGTTTTCTTTTTGCTTTTGCCTTTTGCCCTACATTCAGTGCTGTTGTGCTGTTGTACAGTGGCGAGGCGGCAGCAGCAGTGTGAAGTGTGAACTGTGCATTCTGCGAGGGTGAATACACACAGTCGTCACATTCCGCCTACTTCTCTGCCTACTCCTCTCAACGGCAGCAGCAGCAAATTCGACTTCGTTTCCTCATTTGCCTCCTAGTCGCAGTCGTTCTAAAGCGCACGAGAAAGTGAGAGAGGGCACCGCAGAATCACTGCCGCAAATTCTGTGAGAATTTGAACACACTGCTCTCTTTACGGTGTGTGTTTGCTTTTGGCTTCTCGCTTTTTCTTTCGTTTTTTACATCAATTGCTCTCTAAACGTCGACCTCTGCGGCTGTGTAACGAGTGCAATCAGCGCTGTTGATTCAAGCTGCAAAATTGAACTCTTTGTTTGCTTTGGCTTTTGATTTTTTGTTTTCTGTTTTTCAAGTTTCGATTTTTTGTGGTAAACAATCAACAAACTCTTTTTTGGTGGCGCTCAACAACATCAACAACAATGTCTGATTTTGAAACAAACAACAGCAGCAGCAGCAGCGGCGACTCCAGCCTGGCCTCAACTTCATCTTCAACTTCAACTTCAGCTTCAACTTCAACTTCAGCTTCAACTTCCAGTTCATCAGCCGGCTCTTCTGCTGCTGCTGCCGTTTCTGCTGCCATTGTTGATAAGGAGGACGACTTTGGCGGCTTCCTCTCCGACGGCCAACACAGCCACATCCGCCGCCTGGAGGACGCCTTCACCAGCTCCTCACGACTGCTGCTGGTGGCCGACCGCCAGGGCAACTACACGGCGCTCACCTCGCAGCAGAAGGTAAATCTAATATATTTTGCTTATCAACACCGCTGATAAGTTTACCAAATGTGCTTGCCCTCTAGGTGGGCGCCCTGCTGGTGCACAAAATCGAACATCACGGTGACTCCTCTTCCGCCGCTCGCCGGCAGATCATCCTCTTCGCCGGCCCGCGCTCCACGGGAAAGCAGGCCCTAGCGGTGGGCGTGGCACGGGAGTTGGCCGCCCTGGGCGGTCACTTTGCCGTCCCCTGCCGCTCGGTGAACGCCCGAGACGTCCTGGAGATAAAGGATAAAAGGCGAGGGCGGGAGTGCATTGGAAGAGTGGGCGGAAGTGGTAGTGGTCGAAACATTAAGCGGCCTGATAACCGGCGGAGCCGGCGAGTAAAGGGATTAAAGCCGAGTCCAAAAATACGGAAGCCCGAACTGGTCTGCAGCGACCACTTCCGCCGGGCACTGCTTGAGTCGGTCAACTTTCAGCTGGTGGAGCGGGAGCTGCTGAAGGCGGAGCTTCCCTTTGACCTGGAGCTGTGCTTTGGTGGTGGCGGAGGTGACGAAGAAAGTGATGAAGATGAGGGTGACGACAGCAATGATAATATTATCAATACCAACAACACCGACTCGATGCTCGCCGGCACCTTCTTCGACGCCTGGCTGGACCACCTGGAGGCGCTGAAGAGGGAGCTGCTGGCGAAGAGGGTGGTGAAGACGAACAAAGGGAAGGTGGTGGCGTTGGAGGGGAAGGACCGGCTGGAGATCGAGGCGGTGGAACGGCGGGAGCTGGCCAAGGCGATGCGATTCATTGGGCGCCACTACAGCGCCGGAGAGCTGGCCGTCGCGCCGGGCGTCCTCTTCATCGACGGCCTCACCGACCAGGTCTTTAATTCTGAGGAAGAAGAGGAAGAGGAAGAAGAGGAGGAGGAAACTGATGATAATGCTGATAAGGATGCTGAAGATAATAATGCTGCTGCTGATAAGTGGCATAGTGGCAAGGGCGTGGGCACCACCTCCTCACTCTTCTTCACCAAGATTTCCCAGCTGCTGGAGGAGTACCACGACCTGGCGCCGACCATTGTGGTGCTGGTGGAGTGCACCAACACCGACTGGCACCGGAAGAAGGTGATGCGCTGCTTTGAGCCCGGCTTCAGCCTGGCCGTCTTCTTCGAGGAGGACTACGAGGATGAGGACTTTGTCAAGGTAAACATCCTGTGTAGTAGTCCTGCCTGTCTATTAGAATCTTATCAATCACTATTTCTCTTTCTCTCTCTCTCTCTCTTTCTCTCTTATCAGATCCTCCGGCAGCGAGCCAAGGCGCTGGGCGTCACCTTCGCCGGCACCGGCCATCGAGTGCTCGACCTGCTGCGCGGCATCTCCCGGCCCCGAGTGGCCCCTCGACTGGCCAACCTGGTCCTCCAGGAGGTGGTCAACAGCTCGGCAGAAGGTGGCCGGAAGGTGGTGATTACCACCCAAAATCTGAAGAAGGCCTTCATGAAGATGTTTGGCTAATGGCTTTTGGCCACCATCATCTTTGTCACCCTGCTCTCTTCTCTGCTCCGAGGTTGTTGTTGCTGTTGTAGTCTGTGTAGTAAAAAGTCACCAAACCTTGTTGGGCTCACCTATTAGTCACAAAGTAGTCCTTGTAGTAAAAGAATCAATGATTAGTAAATAAAAAGTAGCTGGTAGTAAAAATGTCTGTGTGTTTATTCGTTTCAAGTTCTGTTCTGCTTCTAAAGACAACTTTGAGGTTTGGGTGTGCCAGTGTGTGTGTGTGTGATAAACAGTGCCGACACTGATTTTAATTTATTCAGACGCATTTGAAGACAAATAGTCCGCGTGAGGTGTATTATGTGAATGTAAGAAGCTGAAATAACAATCTCAAATGTTGGAAAGTCTCTACAACCCCTAAAATCCAACAGTTTCTCTCTCTCTCTCTCTCTCT